CAATGGTGGTTGCGCTCGGTGGCTCGAAAGAACGCCTTTCGACGCGGAACTAATGCATCTTACTTCGCTATCGACTCGCTAAATATTATTATGTTGATTGGCGCTTTGATTGAGGAGAATTGCGTTGTAGTAAGAGTACTCTTACGTACGTTGATGGATTACGTACGTGGCTCCCGTTCGTTAAACTTTAACCCGAAAAATCGCTGAGCCGGCTTTCGCGAGTCGCGTCTACGTTGCTGTTCGCCTCGTTAAAATCTAGATATTACGTAAAAAGTATTTCTACAATTATCTCCGTTACGTGTTTCCCACAGACGAGACCAGCTTTGGCCCTAATACTGTTAAGAAAAACTTGTGCTTTACCAAAGTCGGGATATACTTGGAAAGCTATAAAAAAAAAAATGAAAAGAACTAAACAAAATCTCAACGTTCTTGAGCTCTCCAATCGATGCTCGCTGTTGCTACACGTCCTACAACACGACTACGAGAATCTCGACAAAGCGGCTTATACCTACGAATGCGATAACTTTTCTTCTTCCTCAACTTATCTTTTTTCTTATTCTACGAGGTAGAAGAAAAAGATATTGCTAGAGAAATATAACGAGTATATCGATGGAACTACAGCCGTTGCACTATAAACGTAGATAATTTATCATCTTCTATTTGGGACCGAGGCGACACTTTTGTCGACGAAACATCGTATTAACGGTAAAATTATAGCGCGAAGCATTCATCGATATTTCACACCGGAAAAGGAGGGGCAAATAGAGAGAGAGAGAGAGAGAGAGAGAGAGAGAGAGAGAAGAAAAAAAAAAGCATAAAATATCTACTCGTTAGGTCGATCGCGTTTCGCTTTATACCTATTAATTCCTCTTTTTAACGTTATCGCGATATACTACCCATTTTCACGGCTGTTTTCGAGCGATGCGATATTCGAGTGCTGACCGTGTTATTGTGATTGCTCTCGAACGTGAAAAAAGGGGGAGTGCGAGGGCGAGAGAGGAAAAGTGCGGTGGTGTCGGTGATTGGAAGCCCGGAGAGGGAAAAGAGAGAACGGGGGATGGGGCTAGCCGATTTAGGGGAGAGGCTCGGAGGTAGGGACTATCGGATAATTAAATCGGCCGCAGGACGTAAAGGACACTGATTGACGTGTGCCGGCTGTGCTCCCTCTCTCTCTTTTTCTCTTTTTCTCTCTCTCTCTCTCTTTTGCTCGCTCTCTTTCTCTCTTTCTCTCTCTCTCTTTCTCTTTTGCTCGCTCTCATTATTATTCGTCGAAACGACATAATTCGCGCTTCGCTTTTCGACGAAAATCTAACCGCGTTTTCCGGTGTCGGCAACGACAAGCATCCAACGGTGCATCCACCCTCCTCCACACCTCTTTCCGAGCCCGCAAACATATCTGCGGGCAGCCGAGCTCGCCGAAAACTTTCACCGTTTTATCGGACGTTGAACGATGAACATTTGAAAATCGAGCAGAAAAGAGACGAGATACATACACCGTCAAAAGTTTCGAGCACCCTACTCGTTTTTGCATAAATTTCAATCCCTCTCTCTCTCTCTCTCTCTCTTCTATATACAGCGACGTGCAAAAGTTTACGGCTATATAGATTTTTCATGTTTTATATCTACAAATTAACCTAACTAAAATTTTCGTTAATACTGGACGTAAATGCATATTATATATATGCCCTTAAAAATAATATAAAACAGAGAAAGACACTATTTATTCTTTTCTATATTTTTATTTAATAAATTATGGAATTAGCGTAATTTCAAAGTTTCAATTCTGAGTCTGCAAAAGGTCTGTGACGGTTTATATTCGAGTAATGTGTTGTGGAAGAGAAACAATCAGTCGACACTAACGTTACCCGTTAAAAAGTAATTATAGATTAGTTTATTTCGGTTAAAACACAAAAACATTTAATGAGCCTAGCAACAGTCGGAAATACTTAACATAAAATTGTTTTCAAATTTTCTATTGGAAAAATGTTTATATATAAGAAATGAACTAAAAAATATCTACACTGAATTAATGAAAATTGAAAACGCGTTCTTTTCTTCAATGAATCTAATTTTAATCTGTTCGAGAATGAAAAGAAATATTATTGTAGATTCGACTTTCAATTGGTACGAAATTAGATTTGAAACATCAATTTCGGAGCATGGTGGTAGTAACATGATAGTATGTATAACTTTTTCTACGCAAAAAATTGGTCCAACTTATCATCAAAATTGAAGATTTTCTAAAAGGTGTCGTGTATGGAGACATTTTAAAAACTTATTTGACATCATATGTTGTTGCAAAAATGCCGATGCAATATCGGATATTCCAGCGAGTGTTATGTTGACCATAAACACTCGATGAAAATAATCAAAGGGTGGTTATCTGCAAAAATGAAATTTATATAATATAAATCTATTCGGATGAAAAATATTGAAATCTAAATTATCGAGCAATGTGTGCAGCGGCGAAATGTCACATTCTATTATCTTTAATGAAATCGTAAAGTAACATTGGCCGTTCAATAAACATTTCTGAACATTCGTTTGAATCAATAATCGAATTATTGATCGATTCTCTCCATCTATAGATAGTAGTAAGCTTTATCTTTTATTTAACCAATAACAACGGTTCGATCATTATAATAAAGAGTTATTCTAGACAGTTCACCCGGTATATCGAAGCTATAGAAGGTGGCGCGAGCGCTCGTCGAAAGCCAATAAATTAATTGGATTGACCGCGAGCGGCTTTGTGCGAACAAATGGGATCAACGATTCTTGCCGATCAGCAGCAGCGGCAGCGGAGAGTCGATGTTGGTGCGTTGCTGTTGGTATTGGTGCTGGTGCTGGTGATGGATGGTAACGGTGACGGTGGCTCACCAACATAAGCATCAGACGGCAGAACGAAGCAATTTTCGCGAATCCGTCAACGCGATCCACGTTAACGCGATCTTCTAACCGGATGTCAACCTAGCCATGCGCTTACACATGTACTTTGTCGTTTAGAAAAAAAAAAAGAATAAAAAAAGACGAATATGGGGGTAGAGACACGTAAATGTTCACGCTTATTTTACATTCATTTTGATTAATCTTTCTCTGCATATTAGCGAGGTAAAAAAGAAAATAAAATAGATTTTTTTCTATGTACATTTCATCCACGCGAATTGATATTCGAATTAACAGCACGACTTGAAATATAAATTAGATAATAAGAGGATTCTTTCCGACGATTGATTATATTTGTTAAAAGCAATCTAAACTTTCGCGTAGATATAATACAAATGGATGGAAGAGATACCATAAAACGCATAAGAAATATAAAGCGTACTCTGCTTAGGCGTTACTTATTATTTCTTTGAATTATACATATATACGTGCTCTTTACGAGTATTCCTTCAACGGCTTCTTCTGCTTACTCGTAAAACGAACGACGCGAGTATAAGTAAGTTACATTATCAGTGTTGTTTTGTCGCTGTGTCAAACTCACAGCTACTACGTTCCTTCGTGGAACGTGGGAGCGAGCTGCTGATACAGTCGACGGCAATAACCGTGCTTTTAAAATTGGCCTGACGAAGCGGCTTCCTTCTACGAAGAAAAATGAAAAGAAAAAGAGAGAAGGAAAAAGAAAAAAAAAAAAAAACAAGAAATAAAGATACCGTTATAAAACTGGATCCAAGTGAATTCGAGATATTTCGAAATGTTCGCATTTAAAACAATGCAATCTTAACGTACGATTTTTCACATTAAAGTCGTAAAGTTTAAACGATGCGTTAGAGGGGGGAGAAATATCGTCAAGGTCTTATCCTCGATGAGAATAATGTTTCTACGAGCACTTGATACAACTCAAGGGAAGAAGAAAAGGGCAAAGGGAGGGGCAGGGGGGCAAGTTAATGCGAACGTTTGAACTTCTCAGCCTTCGATCTAATATAGTAGCGAGCTCATTAAAGACCGCTTAATGGGCTCGATGCAGCCGGTTGGGTGAGAGTTATGGGGGTGAGGGGGTTGCTGACGAGGAAGGTGGAGAGAGAGAGAGAGAGAGAGAGAGAAAGCGAGAACTGTTTTAGCTTTTACGAGGCCGACGTGGCATATCCGTTTTGCGAGACACGACGTGCAAAACGATCGATAACACGGTTGTAACGTTATTACCGGCGGGTATACGGAGGTGGGTAGTAGCACCGGTACTACCGGTAATAATGTGGCTTTTACGGTCGTGCGCGCCGCTACAGCTGCCGCCAAAGTCGGTAAGTGCGGCTTTCCATCTAGCTCTTTCTTTCTCTCTCTCTCTCTCTCTGTCTCTCTCTCCCACTCCCTCTCCCACTCTCTCTCCCACTCTATCTATCCCTCTCTCGAACGCGCGACGACGGAAACCGAGGTTCGCGGTATGCGCACTACCACCTGGAATTTATCGCACTTTCGCGACTGTTCGAACTTTCCTTCAACGATTCCAACTTCTTCAAATTATTTTCCAATACTCTTTTCTCTCGTCTTCCCTTTGTTTGCCTTTTTATTCTACATTTCTGTAAAAAAACAGGACAAGGAAACAATATTCCTTATTTGTTGATTATATGATGCTAATATAATAAAATATATACGGGTATATATTTAGGGTTTAATTTACTTATATTTATGTATCTGTCTAGGTATTACAAATTTTCGACAGCTCTATTTCGAAATATATATGTATACCTATATAAATAAATATATATATAGAGAGAGAGAGGGAGGGAGATAGACGTCAACGTTTGCATCGTTTCCAAACTTAAAGTTCCGAGCGATATTTCGAAGCTTCCTGTGAACTTCAAAGCGAGTGGAAAGATAAATAGATTTATAAGAGAGAGAGAGAGAGAAAACGAAATTCCAGCTCTCTCACTCTCACTCTCTCCTCTCTCTTTCTCGTTTGAAGATCCTTATTTTTGTAAAAGGCTTTCCGATGGGAGGGGAGTGTATTTAAAAATATCACTTGTTATTTTCTTTTGACTAATTGATCTGTGTTTATGTTTCAGGGTCCTCCGCAGCCTGGGCAACCGTTCAAGTTTTCGGTCAGTGAGTCCTGCGACCGAATAAAAGAAGAATTTAGTTTTCTACAGGCACAATATCACAGGTAATTCGTTTTCCTTTATCACGGATTCTCTTTTGTTTCAAAAGTTCGAACACTATTGTTCGTGCACATTTGTACCGCGTACGGATTCCGCGTGGGCGAATAAGCGAAACGGACGAGAACGAGCGGCGTAGGCGGCTAATCGCTGGACCGGAAGCCGCAGCGAAATCAAACGGTGAGGGAGAGCCAGAGAACGGGGAAATGTCTCGTTGGGATTAGATGCATACGACGAGTAGTATCGTTTCGGATTAGCAAAAGTTCGTTTTCCGATTGACGCTCCTCTTTTCTTTTTTCCTCTTTTTGTCCTTCTTTTTACTTTCCCTTCTTTCTTTTTTTAACGAATTATGAAATTGCAGTTACACACACTCTGGGTTGTCGCGGAAAGCAATCGTTCGTTCATACGTTCGATATATCGCGTTCGTTTCGCTCATTTTTTAATCGCACCAGTAAAAACCTCATTTGCATTTGTAATCATTCGTTTTGCATCCTCTTAAATGTTCGAGATCGTAAAGTTATAATACGATGAAGAAAATGTAGCGTATAAAAGGAGGTTAAGCGAGTAAGAAAGGTCGTTAATCGTGGCACGATCTTTTGCACGCTAAGGAATAAGAAGAAGAAGAAGTTGGTGATCGAACGAAAGGAACTTTTCTTTTTCTCTCTCTCTCTCTCTCTCTCTCTTTTTAAACTCTAAAACGATGTGTTGATTTTGGTCTCGCGAACAAACGCTTGCTTGATTTCTATCTTGCGTCCTTAGGAAGAGAATAATAATTTATGTGGCTTTGGTTTGACGTGTTAATTCGCAAAGTCACGTGCCTTTCAGAGTGGTACGGCCACGACGGAAACTTAAATTACTGCTTTCGTGTCGAAGCATCGAGAAGGTGCGCCATCTAAGGGAGGAAAGGAAGAAGGGTCGGACGGAAGGAGCGAGTCCCCGGGCCGGCTCGCAGAGTGCATACATGCATAAATATGTGCCAGAACGTACGTGCGTCGCGTGCGACATTTTCTGCTCGCTCATTGTTTCAAAGACCTATCGCTTACCTAAGTAAGTAGTACTTACTTACGTACTCGATCGGCGAACCTCGATATCGAATTTACGTGCTCGACCATGAAGCGAACCTTTCATTTCTTTATTTTTCTTTATTTCGTTTGTTCGTTTGTGGTAGAAAACTATTTTTATCTCTCGTTATAAAACACAATTTGTTCTTTATTATTTATTTCTTTTCTGCGCAAAGAGAGAGAGAAAGAGAAATTACTACGTATCAATAATTTATCCTAAGAGAATAGAGAGATAAACGGCAAATATTATATCCGGTCTACAAATCTCATGTACCGCGTTAATTTCTCTTCGTTGTACGCTTAATGATGCGATAAGTATTCGCGCATTACCGGAACTCGAGTTCTTTTCCTCTCTCGATTCGCCGAATATTTTCGAATAAAGAGAAGAAGAATTTATGGAGAATAACGAGAATAAAAAGGGAATAAAAGAAAGGATTTGTAAGAAAAGCGATGATAAAGGAGGAAAAGTAAATCGTCTAATCGGGGAAAAAGAAGAAAAAAAAAATAGAAAATAATCGTGAACGCTGACTCGATTTGTTCGTTAAAAGAAGAAAATGGAAGGAAGGGATATACCTAACGAATAAGGTTCGTATTTGCGAAAATAATTAATAATCCGCGATTGGTTATCGATCTTGGGGTAAGGGTAGATATTCAGAGGTGCTTTTATCGTAGATTCGATTCCTTCTATTTGCGGGCTTCTTCCTCGCGTTTGAGAATTTATGAAGCTCGCGCGTGCTCCGGTTCTGCGTTATTTCGCAAAATCGAGTTGCGGGATTTCCGTTCCGCTTTCGTCGATCGTTTCGCCTTTAATGGATCGTGACTCGTCGAATGCTCGTTCGCCAAGGTAATAACTCTATCGTTTTATTACGTCTGCTTGGACGTTTAACGAATCGAATAAAATTGCGTAATAAGTTAAGATTGAAAAGCTTACTTTAAAAAGGGAACGATTTTTATCGAACTAAAACGATTTTTCGAGAGACAAGATCGTCCAAGCTACTAAAATCGTGTCGAGAGTGTCAAATGGAATTGAAATTATGTTAACAAAAGGAAAGAAAAAAAAAGAAAAAGAAGAAGAAAAATCGTTATGAGAGAAGCACGAAAGGTTAACATTTAAATGTGGCCACGTTCGTAGAGTGGAATTTTAACAATTCCGTACGAACTTCTCTTATCTCCTTACTCCGTAAACGCACACATGTTTTAATTTAACGTCCCGCCGACGTGCTCGGGATGAGCAGAAGCAGCAAAAAAAAAAGATTAAATAAAAAATAAAATAGAGACCGAGAGCAAGAGCAAGAGTTGAGAGAGAGAGAGAGAGAGAGAGAGAGCAGCGCGGTCGAGCTAGATATTAATGCTTTTCACCCTTTCCATTTCCCACTTTTTCTCTTTTCCTGCTTTTCTCTGCGTTACCCTTAAATTGGAACGCGAGAAACTGACCGGTGAAAAAGTAAAGAGACTTTGTGGTTTAACTGCTGAACCAGAACGAAAAAAAGAGAGAGAGAGAAATTTAACGCGAAACGTCGCGAAACATTCTTTTCATGACGACTTCGTTCCAATAATTTTCTTTAATTTCAATATTTTCCTATACCGTTACCGTGTAAATGCGTTTACACTTGGCCGAGTACAAATTTACAAAATTTTCGTAGAACGCGTAATAAAATTTTTATATCCATGTAAATTTTTGCTTTCAAGCACGCGCATAAATCCGTAAAATAACGTATTTAATTCAGTTTCCGTTTGGAAATATTTCCCAAGCGCCGCTTATATACATGTTATTGCAAATCATCTAGCGTATCGTTCGATAGATAAAAATAAAAAAAAAATAAAAAAAAAGGAGCGAATTGAAAAAGAACGCGATCGACAAAATATGTATTGTCGGTTTTAGAGAAGATCGGGGTAAAAAGAGGTGAAAATAGCGAGGGAAATTATCGCGGTACCGTGGTGAACGCTACGTCGCAAAATATTGGGGGTGGGGGGTGGAGTAAAGGGGGGGAGCAGAGAGACATGTACCTAGCAAACTAGCGTTTGGGACGCGCGCGCGAATATACGCATGGGCACGTTCCTCTTGGTGCGTGCAAAAAAACGCGAGTCCGCACATATGGTGCACGCATCACCATATTCGGACCATTGTTACGCGAAATGCATAGGCTGTAGAGAATCACGGAGAAGAGGGGAAGCGTAACATCGACGCGTACGTTGGATTCTCTGTTTTGTTACCGTAATGTCGAACGATACGTTGTTTTTGTTATTAAATTCTGCATGTATCCTTCAACAAGGTCGTAGTTTATGAACGAGAGTGGTGTTAGGTTCAGTCGACCGAAGGGAACGAACGAAACCGCACGGAAAAAAGCTTTCCCTTAAATTTGGATTTCTTTTTTTAATTTACGATCATTATTACGAACAGCTGGGTTTTTTTCTCAGCAGATGTAATTTACGAGATGGATATGATGTAGTACATTGTTATTTTTCTAACGAGAGAGGTAGAAATACAGTATTCGTGATAACTTTATAAAATATTGTCAACATCTTCCTCTCGCACCGAACAATTACTCGTCATTAATTGCTTTAACGAGAAGGGTCTCTTGGATGTGTTTTCACGAGCGATTCGAACGATCGGCTGGCGTCCAATTTTCCCCGCTGGTACACTCGATTACGATTCGAGTCAGCGTGCCGTCGTTGCTCGTGCATGGATAGCAGTGGGAAAGAGAGGCGGAGTGGGAGAGGGTGAGGGAGAGGGTGAGGGAGAGGGAGGGCAGCAGAGTTAGAGGGTTACGAGACTGCCGTGTAACGAATTATTATCGATGTTTGTTGCGGCCGCGCTAATTGCGTATTTTTAACGGCTTGCCTGCGAAGCGGTATTCATCATCTCCCATCCCCGCTCGGCCTCTCGTCCCCTCACCCTCTTACCAAAGCCACGCGATTGGTCGACCGCGTCGATCGAGAAAGAAAACTGGCGGGGTGAACTAATAGCGAGCAGTCATTGATCGATCCTGATTTTGTATTTTTCTCTTTGCAATTCGTAACAAAAGGGTAATCGATTTTCGTAGCCGAATCAAAGAATTGTTACTATATCATACTTCTGTTTACTTGTGTGCAGATAGAAATTATGAATTTTTCATTCGGAATATTTGTGCCATTTTAATTCTTCCCATGAATTGCATATTTTTTTTTTACACATTTCGAAGCTTTCTCTAAAATTTGTATACCGTTCGCGCGTGGTTTTGGCTCCTAACAATTTCCGTTTATCTCTGAAAAACCTGTATTGCGATACTTAATAATTGATTTTTCCAAATCCGATCGGCATCGATCGCACGAAGCAAAGTCACGAAGCTAAAACAATGTGTACGCGATGTAATCGGATTATCGAGTCCTTTCTGTCAAACAATGTTTACGAAAATCTAACTCAACGCGTTCCTATCCTTTTTTATAATATAAACAAACGACTTTTGATATTTATCTCGCATTTACGTATTATTTGTTTTGTTTAGTATTAAATTGGACCTGGAGAAGCTTGCACAGGAGAAGACAGAAATGCAGCGTCATTACGTTATGGTGAGTACATTTTATTTTTTCATTTGATTTCATTTGATTTGATTTGATTCATTTGATTTATTTTCCGTTTATCAATTCTTTGTCCAAGCATTATCGTGTAATTCTTCTTGGACTATCGTCGAATGTTCATATGGAATTTGTTCCCTCGAATTAATCGGATATGCTATGTACAATATACCTACGTGCCTCTCGTGCAACGATCGAAATACCGTTAATTTATTTGGCTGCGCGTGTCTATTAATGAAATTGCTATATTAAATGGCATCGGTGATTCTCAGTGGTCGATAAATTATAATTTGCAGGGAAGCTTAATAATTCAGCGAAACGGTATCTACGGAATTTGAAATACGTAGAAGCCGATGCACATCATTTTCATAGATATTTATCGTTAAAACGTTAACGATGAGTATAGGTTCGGGTTCTTTTGTTTAATTTCTTTTTTAACGACAAAGGATGCTTGGAAGTCAATCGAAATGGCATTAGAAACGAGCTTTTTTTTGTTTTTTATTAATATTGTAATAACGTAATTAACTATTGGCTACTTTGTTGTAACAAAAGCTTTGGTGGCAAACAAACGCTTGGTGCGATATTACCGTACGAGTATACATAGAAAACACTTTTGGAATACGTGGTCTCAGAAAATTACGTTAAAACGAAAGCCGCGTTTCGTTGCCTTTGTACTCTGTCGAGTTTCCATTTGGCGGTTGTCGAAGGGATGGTAAATAAACGGAAAACAAAAATGAGCATTGCATTAGCTAATGAAAATAACCGGAGAATGCTTTTCCAAAACGAGTATACGATAGGAGTAGAGAGAAAAATACTCATAGATTCGACTACTTTTCTGTTCGCGCGATAAATTCCAAGATAGCCTGTTGGTTCATACTCTCATATCCAGTAGAGGTGCAATTCTATAAGCATTTCTCGAAAGCTTTAGCAATTTTCACGGACACGCGTTTTCTACGGTTGAAAGCGCAAACGAGATTCGCAGGCACTTGAGAATATACTCTGTAACGTCGTGTATACGTATCTACTTACTCTTTCTCTCTCTCTCTTTTCTGCTAGCTCGACACTCGTGTTTGCAGTTACTTTTTGCGACCTCGTAGCCGCACTTTCGCCCGTAGATCTTCGTTATTACCTTACATCACGTTGGTCATGCGTGCGTCTTCATTAACTACGAAACCGTGTAGGTTTTCTCAGTCCTAGTAGGTTGAAGGTCACTTACCGTGTTAACGTATGCAACTACGTTTATCGATCGCTATAGATCGTAGTCGTCGTTCTCATTCACGATTACTGCTACCAATGTAAATAGGAAGAGAAAGAAAGAGAGAGAGAGAGAGAGAGAGAGAGAGAGAGAGAGAACTTTGTACAATAATTTATGGGGTATGGTCGTTCACTGCGTGACTACGTTCGATGCAAATCGCGCGATATAAAATGCAGTCCGTTCGCTCAGCCGTGGACGTGGCACTTCCGGCGATTCACGCTAAGCGAAAGATTAATCGATCGATCTCGATTGCGAACGAAGCGAGCCATTTTCTCACGTCGATTTAGCGATCTCTCGCGTTCGGTCACGATTAACGCACTTGAGTTCGAATTTACGCGAGAGTCATCCTTTCTACCTATATGTATATATATATATATATATATACATTTCTCGTTATTATAGCCACGATAGGCATCCCTCGATCGGTTCGATACTAAACGAGTCCATTCGTTATTAGAGAGCCTCTGCTGGCATGTTCACTTCTCGCGCTCCACCGATGATCGATCATCCTCGAAGGTAACAAAAATGTATTTTATCGGATCGTTTCGCAAGCCGGACACGCAGCAACAGGTTTATATATATATATAGAAAGAGAAAGAGAGAGAGGGAGAGAGAGAGAGAGAGAAACAGACAGACAGACAGAGAAGAGGTATTTAGGTAGGTACTGCATAGCTACACCTGTTCGTGGTACCAACCAACTAACCAACCAACCAACCGATCTAGTCGCCGCTCGAGACTCTATCTCCAATCGATATCGAACTCGCCACCAACTATTTACGCTTTCAGATTTCCTTCGATGATAGCTCGTTTATCGTAACGTACAATCGGCTCGAGTTTATATTTCGATTTATATAATCGATGCATCTTCCCTAGATATCGTTAGATCTTCCTATCCTCTACAATACGATTTCACTCGGCATCCTTGTTAAATGTCACTCTCGTCGACGCAATCTACACGCTTTTGCACACATTGCGTCATTTAATTTCTTCGTTTACAGTTTGTAAGCAAGTTTGCAAATCGCGACCTTTAGCTACTGCTTCAAAGAAATAGAGATAGAGGTAGAGATAGAAGCAGAGATAGAGATAGAGATAGAGAGAGAGAAAGAAGAATAGAAAATGAGAAAATAATGGAAAAGGTGCAGAGACGGGTGCATCCAGTCGTTGTCGTTCGTGGCACGTTTACCGGATTCGATCTTATGTTAGCAAGGAAGAAATCCGTTCTACGAAAGATTCTGCATCGAAAGAGGTCGGAGGGCAAACGAAGACTCGCGTTAGAAATGAAGAGGAAGACGGTTCTCTTACGACGCCGTTATACGACGGCGTCGTCGTAGTCAGAGAGACGGCCATTACACTTTTACGATTCTTTCATGTAATCGTCGAGCTCGTGAACTTTTACGAGTTAAAACGAAGATCGTTTCGTTCAACCCTTCGTTCCCCTTCGGTTTACACCGATTGATCCACCCAAGCAAGATACTTGTACATTTATCTATAAATATATATCTACATATGTAAGTAATACTTTGGAATATATGCGGATACGTACAAATCATTCGAAATTCTATTTTGAAAAGAGGCGTAAATTATACGCGACGAAGAGACAGTTAAACAAGAATAATAATCGTATCTTCTCATCTTACGTTCAACGCTTTTCTGGTATCAATCAAAAAGAGGAAAAAATAAAAGGAAAAGCCGAGAAACGTCTAACGTGAAATCGATTCGTCTCAAAACGGGATCGTTACAAAGTTCGTAATTGATGTCGGGTGTTGATTTAATAATCGGGTTCGAACGACTCGGTAGAAACGAGTTATTACGAGCGAGGTTGGAAAGATGGACGAAAACGAGGAAGAGAGAAAGAGAGAATCCATTAAGAATTCCATTCAAGCGATTCCATCCAACGAAGCTTCTACTTTACTTCGAGCTATTAGCGTTCCATCGATTTATATCATACATATTGAATCCGCGAGTTATCGATGAAAAGTACGGGGAAACATTCGTGCATATAAAAAACTTGAAAAAGGTACACAAATTTATTCGTCTCCTTTTTATCATTCATTATATTATTTCTTTATACGACGAGAAACGTGTCCATTTATTTTTATATAAATATATCTCCAATTTTAGAAAGATTAGATGCAATCCTGAAAGACTTTATTATCGATTCGAAAGATACGTGGTTAATATAGATATCGAGCGGCGAATAACAGGAGAGAAAGTTCATGTTAAAACGCGACAAAGAACGTTGACGCGATGGGGGCTAGAAGTATAGGTAGTAAACATACGTATAATATATTATGCAATGTAGGAATATAATACCGTTAACTTTAGCATCTCGTTTACGCTTCGTTGGATTTACAGGATCGCTTCATTACGCCAACGTATTTCTCGCGCGCGAACAACGTTCCGCGCATGGTAGGTAAACTATCATCTCATCAACGCGTCAACTAGCTAGTTCAAGCTAGTTTCACTTTTATCGATCATTTTTTCGCATATACGCGTAGGTCGTGAAACCGAGCGTGAAGGAAGAAAATCACGCTTCCAACGAAATTCACCCATTCCTTGGCCATCGTAGTTCTTTTAGGTTAGCTAGTGGTTTCTTTTAAGGGTATGTTATTCGTACATGGTATTCGAACCGTCGAAGGTCGATCGGAGTAACAGATAAGGGTCCATCGAAAGAGAACGCGTAAAAGGGATCCATTAGATTCTCTTTCTTTCTCTTTCCTCTTCTACCGTCTCTCTACTCGAGATATCGATCGCGATCGATATCGTCCATTTATTCGAGAACGTACAGCCATGGAATCGTTTTCATCGTCCGGAGGATCTCGCGTTCGGGCAACATCAAAGAAACAGAGAGTTCTCTTAGGGCAAACAATAACTATCTTTTTCTATCTCTTCCTCCTCCTTCATTCTCGTTGGATATTTTTTGCTCTTGTAACTTGGCTTTGACGTGGAAAAGAGGGAAGCACGAACGCGAGTCGTGGAAATCTAATAACGATAAGCGCAAAGTTGACCCTTTATTACTGCCAACGGGCGCCACTACTTCTCGCGCTTATGAAAGAATCGGAATTAACGTTAAGCTTTTCTTCTACTTTTTTTTTGTTTTTTTCCTCTCTTCCTCTTTTTTCTTCTTTTTTATTGTTATTATTTTTATTATTATTCTATCTTTTTTCCTTCCCGTTCCTTTACCTTCGACTCTTTAAAAACCATTTTAGGTTCTGCTTTATGGAAGGTGGAGATAACGTTGGATAGATAGTAACTTTGTTTTATGACAACTTAATAAAAACCTGAGGGAAACGCGTTAAACTCTCAGAGATTTGTATTTTCGTAAGATCCCTTAGATAAAGGGGCAAAAAAAGGATGATGAAGAGGAAGAAGAAGAAGCAGGGTAAAAAGGATTCTTCATTTTTTTTTTTAGACATCGACTTTCGCGAAGCAAAATGTTCGTTGCATTAATATTTCAATTAGCTGCTAAAAGGGGTAGAATTTGTTCTTTAAATCTTTGTCTAGTTCGTGAAAATATGAAGCTGACGGACAAGGAAAAGGATTATAGCGATGATAAACATTGAGAAATATTATTCGAAACTTGTTTCGGTTAGTTGGAAGCATCGAATTGCATCACACTTGCCGTCCTTGCGGCGAAATGAGTAGGTAAATGTGGCTTGAATGCGGTAGGAAAGAGAGCGTAATAAAAAGTAAAAACTCCGGCTCGTTGAACACGCGAGCGTGAAATTACGCGTGTAGCGTGAAAAATTGGCGGAGAAAGAAAGAAAGAGAGAGAGAGAGAGAGAGAGAGAGAGAGAGAGAGAGAGAGAGATAGAACGAATAAAAGTAGAGTAGGTAGAGGTAAAAAAGTATTGTAGACGGAGATAATAATAATTAATAATTAGATTTTCAAATGTATATACACGGGAAGAGAAATTATTGTTGAATTTTCATCGCTTTCCTCGATTTTTCCATAAAGCACGGAACCATGAGGATAGGTAGATCTCTCCTATTAAATGCATCCTTGCTAAAGTGACGTTCTCGGTCTTTCGCGATAATTAAGATCGTGACCTCGGTTCAGACAGCGCTCGCTGCTACTGGGGAAAGTCTATTAATTAAAGGCCAATTATTTCAGCGAGACGACGACTACTACGACTACTACGACTACTACAACTACGACGAAGACGACGACGATCACGATCCTCCGCAAGCTACGCCACAGTTCCACCACTGGCACCGTCTCATTACCTTTCTTAATCAGCCTCTTTCCACTTTCCCCTTTCCCCTAATCTCTCTTTCTCTCTCTCTCTCTCTCTCTTCCTCTAGTTCCCTTTCTCGGTCTTTCGTTAGTTTCCACGAAATACCGACTCTTTCTCCTGTTCTCTCGTTGAATTTGACGATATTTGGCGAGCTTAATGCTCGTTACACGCCTCGCTCCGTGCATTCTCGTCGCTTAACGCTTCTGCCCACGCCTCTTGGATTAAATTCGCAAACGAGCGTCGTTCCGACTCCTTGGTTGGAACTTACCGGCACTTTGTTTACGATCGAAATGAAACTCCAGGGATTGGAGGAAACTTTCAAAATCTCATTTTTCTCATTATATTATACATTCTATTTTAGTTGAAATACGAATTGCTGATTTCGATTCTTTATCGTCATTTTAAAAATGTTTACTCTTACGTATAAGGAAATAATTTAGAAAAGTATTTTTTTGTCGGTATCTTAGCTCATTACAAAGACACGCGTTACTTTTATAACGAGTCACCCGAGGTGCAAGATTTTACGATCGGCAAGTAGTAAAGACCGGTTGACGAGATGACCGTAGAACATTCTTTCTCTTCTAGGAGAAATAAAGAGATGGTTGTATAGTAGTAGTATGCTCGTTAAAATTGCGAACTATTATATTTTATTCTACCTCTAGTTCTAGCTCTCCCTCTCCCTTTTGTTTCTCCCTTTTTTTTTTTTTTCTAGTTGGGAGTAAACTCGGTGGAGCAGGTACACGCTGCCTCGCGCTCTTTTTGCTGGCCGCCGGTAGCAGTAGCATTGGTATAACTCGGTGCCAACCAGATATCAACACAGTTACTCCTTTTTTTCCTGGTCCTGTAGCATTGCACTTTTATCGTCCACTTTGCCGCGTGCCTATGAAATCTGCGGCGAACGCCGGACAGTCAAACGGCGAGTCGCGATTCGCGGCTCTCAATCGCGTTGTGCTAGTTGTAACAAAAAGCCGAGGGTAGAGTGTGTCGAATCGACTCCCCTCTGCTCTCTCTCTCTCTCTCTCGTGTTTCTTTTTTTTTTGCTCTCTTGTTCTCTTCGACGTTGCGCTCGATGTTGCGAATTGTTTTAGAAAAGTCTAAAAAAACTTAAAAAGTAAAAAAAAACCAAAAAGAATCGTTCGTTTTCTCGTTTGATGAACAATTAACGAAACGAAGCATTGATCGAGGAACAAATAATTCGGCGCATTGCCTTACCGATTGTTCACAAATTTCGCTCTGAAATAGCAACGAAATAATTTATCCATCGATCGCAAAAGAAAATGTTGTTGAATCGATTGAAGAAGAACCCCTGGACTTTTGTTGGCTGCAGACTTAGGTTGAATTAGTTAAAGCGAACGCCGACGACGGGCTCTTGTACACACCATGTAGAAACGATGTTACGAGAAACCGGTCTTGGATCGCCGCCGGAATCAGCAGCTCTGAAACTCGCGTGAGATCCTTTAGTGTAGTAGAAAGGTGGAGAGGAATGGGGCGTGGGGAACCAAACGACTTATTCCTTTTCTTCCTATTTTCTCTTCTCTTCCTCCTTCTCGTTTTCTCATTTACTCGACGCCACGCCGTTTATCCCCTCCTCCTTTCTTTCTCTTTTCTTTACTCTACTCTTTCCTTCCCTTTTCTTCTCTTTTCTTCCGATGCTCGTCGCGGTCTCGCATTACAGCTCAATTTGGTCCGCTTTTCGTAATCTCCTAATCTCGTTCGATCGATGTAATCTCGACTCGGCAGTCCGTGTCCCGGCTATTTTAAAGATACTTTTTCAGTAGAAAGAGAGAAAGATACTTATAAGGAGAATCATTTTTAAATTTAATTCCTTGATCGATTGTTTCGCGTTTTATTGTTAGATAATTAGGAAAATTCACATCGATAATGTTAATCGGATTACTCGACGTGTATTTTCTAATTGCTTATTTACGTTAGACGAATAATTATTTATAGCATACGTAGATATCATCGTCTACTTGCAAGTTTAATATTAAAGCTAATTAAACTGTTTTTTCTTTTTTTCAGTACTACGAAATGTCTTACGGACTTAACGTGGAGATGCATAAACAAGTAAGTAGTTTGAAAATTCCTAAGGTTATATTCTTGAAGGGGAAGCATAGCGATATGGATCAATTCCGATCCCCGTATAATTTTATAAATCGCGATGCAAGAGCATGCGTGACGTCGGATGAGTGACTTATTAATCGGTCGGCTTGACGCGTGGTGCGCAACGCTTTAATTCAAAATTAAAGGGCCGAAAGAGGAGAGGAAGCACGGATTAGGAGGGTGATATCCCCGAACCCTCAGGGATCCCGGCTATTGAATAAATATGTAAACAAGGTAATAACATGCAAATAGCACGGTGACCTTCTACGAACGGCTTTCTCTGCGTGGGAGATCGTGAAAAGCTTGCCGGGAAGAATAGTGGAGTGGGCTTTCGGGAGTTCCATCGAGAAAAGAAATTATTCAAGCCGTCGCACTCGAGAACAATTTCCCATCGAATTGGCTAGCGGAAAGAATGCTGCCGCCGACATTTATTCCTAAGATCATTTAAACTTTTATTCTTTTTCTTTGTCCTTATAGGTATACTCTATACCTATCTATACACGTATTATATTGAAGTAGTATAAATTGTGTTCGTATTCACTAGAACAGATTTCGATCATAAGTTCCAAGCTCTTTCATCGATTATTTTCGATCGGGACGAAAATTGCGGCTTTCGGGCGTACAAAGGTGAGGAGATTGCGTTTTGATATAACCTTTTGATATAGCCCTTAGGCTACGTTCAAATACTACTACGTTCGAATATAAATTCGTCGATATCTTTTGGATCAAATTCCGCTCTGATATACCATTCCGAGTAGAGAATTTCTTGCAAGATGAGTTTTACTCGCGACTAATAGACTGATAAGTATATCATATATACAAATTTTCAAATCCTTAGTGAGAGTTCGATCCACGCATTTTACCATCTTTACCTTCATTTTCAAGGACTTCTTTATATTCTTGCTAGATGATTTTTTGTTCTTTTCTCCCTGTCGAGATTTATCGCGCAAGCAAGTAAAGCTAGGATAGAGAGAGAGAGAGAGAGAGAGAGAGAGAGAGAGAGAGAGAGAGAGAGAGGATGAACGATTTACTTTTTTCGAGCAAAAAAAGACGCTGCTGCTCCTCTTCTCTTCCATCTAACACAAGAGTGAGTGCTAGGTAGAAAATTTATTAGGTTCGCGTTAATATCCCGACGAAAAGGTGGTGCCCTGTGGATGTTAATAAAAAGATGTCGGAGCCTAAAGCGTCCGACCGACGGTTTTTACGTAAAAAGCGCTCTTCGCGGCCGTCTACGAGGAGAAATAGAGAGTGCTGCGGCTTTTCGTAGTGCGCCTTCCGCGGAAGGCTCATAAATATCGTCACGGATTATTTAAAGGAGGCGAAAGCGTACGGCAAGCATACGATGTATGCTCGAGACGAGAACATCTTTCCAAGTCGCACAAAATCTCGATCACGAACTCGCTAAGATAAATAGCCCTCCCCTTTGTTTCCTTTTTCTTCGGACTTGCCCTCGCAATTTCTCTCTCTCTCTCTCTATCTTTTTTTACACCTTCCTTCCAGTTGCTTAATGCTATCTCTCTCTCTCTCTTTCCCTTAACTTGCCTTCTTCGTTGTCGTCGTCGCCGACGTGCCGGGAATAATGTTCGCGTTTATTGAATATTTAGCAGTCGGCCCCGTTATTTCCTTTCCTTCTTACCTCTCAGTCTTTCTGTCTTTTTCATTCTCAAACACGATTTCCTCCTTCTTTTCTTCTTATTCCAGGCGGATGCACCCCGCAAATCGTAAATCGGACTCCGCGTCGGTCGCCCGAAAGAGAGTTCGCCCTTTTAACTCGAACCCTCATTCTTTTTCTCCCTCTTTCTTCCCTTTCTTTTTCTTCTTCTTCTTCTTCTATATTTCCTTACCTAGTCGGGCACAACAGAAGTAAGGAAGGAATGGCACGGGAAGATTCATAATTTAACCGATGGACGTGCGAATCGAAACTGAAACTATGGGAAGAGGGAGAGGGGTTTTCGTGAAATAGTCAAACATAGAGAAGAATAAAAGTAAGAATGGGGAGGCACTTTTCGTAGGAACGTTTCAAGTTAGTCTCTTGCTTCAGTTTAAGGAATACGAATTTTGTACTATTTTTTGTTTTTCTTTTTTTCTTGTTTCCTCTCGCGTCATTCACGTGTCATCGAGCTTTTGTTCGAATGCGTATATACCTACCTGTCGAGAGTAATTTGAACATTTTACAAGTCCGCGCGATTCGAGCAATAGTTTACGAGCAAACTCGCACGTCGTATACGATGCTCTTCCTCTTTTTCGAGATTTTGCGTTAAACGACGATCGCGAGGATGATGACGATGATAATAAAACGAAAAGTACGACGTGTCGAATAGGGAGTGAATCGCGTTTCCGAATACAAAAGGGGATGGCGAATGCGTCGCTTGTAAAATAGAGTGAAAGAGAGAGAGAGAGGAGAGAAAAGGAGGGTGCGAGGGGTTGGGGAGTTGCGAAAGGGCAAAATATTTCCCCCTTCGCTCGTGAAACGTCGAATGAAATTTATCGAGGTATAACGGGAGCGAGTGGGCGCGCGTATTAATCGACCGACTCTGCTCGATGTAAGTGTCGATGTAAACGCGACCCGCTATCACAACGACGCGTAATTAACGCGGGGTAATGCTTGACAATTACCGTCATCGTCATCATTCATCCGGGTGCTGTGCGCTCCGACCTGTTACGTTTTCCCCTCTTCTCTCTCTCCCTCTCTCTCTTTCTCTCTTTCTGGACACTTGTGCCACGCTAAAATAATCGTCCGTGACCGACACGCTTCGCGCTCCGACGAGTTTTAAATTTTGTTTCCTTTCCTTTTTATCGCGTAATTAAGTACGATAGCCGCAGAACATTTCCCGGAGATAATTAGAGTATCAAAGTTTCTTCCGTGACATATTTTGTGACGATTACGTGATTCTAGTTTGAGGAAAAGAAGAGGAAAAAATAGAGATGGGGAGGGAAATAAAGGAGATAGAAAGAAAAATTGTGAAAGAAGGAGGTCGTGCCAGTCTGTATATATCGGATAAAAGATGGACCGTTTTGATATTTCATTCGTAGCCGTTATTTATTACGCACCGATGAAGCGTTCTCTTTTTCTCATTTTCCTTCTCTCTCTCTCTCTCTCTCTCTCTCTCTCTCTCTCTCTCTCTCTCTCTCTCTCTCTTTGTCTCTCTGACTGTGATATCGTTCGATTTTTATTTATCGTTTCGCATCACGGAATGACGATCACGGTCGTACGGCGAGTTTTTATTGCGGCGCGACGATCACCGGGACTCGGTCCCGTTTTTATTTGCAGGAAGCGACGCGTATTGTAAATGTTTTCGGGCATTACTCTCGATTTTACTAACGCTATTACCAGCGATTCCGGCGCGCACTGCAATACGTGTCGGGCAGTTGGAAAATTCACGCATGAAAAGTACCGGCGGCCACCGCGAGTGATTCGATTTCGTTGTTTTGCGTCCGATTCGCTGCTTCCCATTCCCCGAACCCGCTCCTCTCCCCAACCCTCTCTTCTGGTTACCATCACTATCACCAACAGCAGCAGCAGTAGCAGCGGCGGCACATCGCCACCGTCACCCTCGTTCGTCCTCTCGTTCGTCCTCTCGTTCGTCCTCTCGTTCGTCCTATCGTTTCGTCCTCTCGTCGTTTCGTCCTCTGGTCCTTCCTCTCTCGCTCTACGTCTCTCTATCCACCCCATATAGTTCGCTCATTATTCATTTATCGGTTTAACGAGCACGTCCGCGAAAAAGCGCCACAGAATATTGGCCGGTCGATAGCGTAGAATCGGCCTTTTCGAGGACGATGCGTCCTGTCCGTTCCGCCATATCCAACTAGTACTTTCTCTCTCTCTCTCGTTACTTCTCTCTTTTTTTTTTTAATTTGAATTCGCTCGCGTGGTCCACGACGACAAAATTAGTCCATTTCAAAGTCCGGTACAAAACGAGAGAATCGAAACGAATCGATTGTTACTCGTCCGAATAATCTTGTCTGCGGTAGGATTATTAATTTGCCGATAAAAGAAGGATTTTCCATCGGCGATCCTACTGTTTCTCCTTTTTTTTCTCTCTCTCTCTCTCTCCATTTCTCTGAAATAAAAAAGAAAAAGTTAAAAAAAAAAAAAAAGGACGAGTATAAAAATCGTTGATACTTTTGGAGGAGCGAACGACGACAACGACAACGACGACGACGACGACGACGATGACGATGACGACGACGACGACAGTTTATCGCCTTTCCACGGTGAATAACGAATTCGTCGTTCTCTCGTAGTTCGTGACGAGTTCAAAGGAATAGTAATCCGTGATAGGGCGAGGCTGGTTGGCTGGCTGGCTGACTGAGTGAGTCCCTTCGTCGCGTGGAGCCTCGACGAGAGCCCGTTTTCAATCTCCCCTGAATGACCGCAAATCTAGGCTTCATTAATTTCGCGGCGTACCACCCCGAAAAAGCATGCTCGAGGAGAGGAATCTCGTCAGGTGCTTCATGAATAACCTCTCGAAAGCGTCCGACGCGCTATGCGATGCTCCCTCTCTCTAAAACTTCCCTCTCTATTTCTACTACCATCGGTACTCGCGCGCGCGAGGGGTGACTTTAAGCTGGCACAGAAGCGCGCGCCCGCGCACACACGTTACCGGCCCTTGTTTTTTTTTCACCTTTTTATTGTGTCTGCAGCAGCAGCAGCAGTAACGTTGCTGCTTCGGTCCTCGTGTCTACATAGAAGAGAGAGAGAGAGAGAGAGAGAGAGAAGGAGAAAGTATGCCCGTATGTGTATGTGCGTGTGTGGAAAGAGGAGCAGAAGAGCAGGTTGAAAGAGAGCAGATGGAGGTTGCAAAAGAAGAGAAAAAGAGAGAGAAAAAGGGCGAGGTCGAGAGGAACGAGCGAACGGGTGGAAAACGCGATGCATCCTAGAGGGTGGGAGGGGACGAGTAGGGGATGAGTGGTGGTGTGGCAGCCGACGAGGGAGGCTGGTTTCACAGGCTCGCTGCCGCGCT